GGCAGTGCTTCTCCCTGCATAGCTGTTGTTTCCCTCCCTACCTTGAGGCTGTTTCCCTTTCCACCTGGAGGCTGTGCTGCTCCTGCCTAGTGGCTGTGCTGCTCCTGCCTAGTGGCTGTGCTTCTCCCTGCCTTAGGCTGTTTTCCTCTCTACTTGGAGACATCTTCTTTCCTTACCTGGAGGCAGTTTTGTTCCCTGTTTGGAGGCTATTTCCCTATCTGGTAGCAGTTTCCTTCCCTACCCCAGAGAACACCACGGTCACTATTCCCTCCACCCCCTGACCTCCCCAATCCAGCAAACCTTCCCTCATTTCCTTTCCACCAGCATCATATTCAAATCCCACACCTTATATTTTCCCCACTTCCCATTTTAAGACTCATCTAACAAAGGGAGTGATTATGTTAAATCAGGGGCAAAAAGTGCCTTTCTGCCTTTAGAGTCTAATCCTTCCTTGGGACAGATTTCCTGGAGGAGCCTGGCACTTCCAGAGGCAGTAACAGCTTTTGATCTTGACCTTTCTGCTGAACAGAGCAGCATGGAATGTTCCCAACAAAACATTTACTTCTGGGGATCTAGAACTGCAACACTCTTCCCAGAGTTTAGGACTGACCTTACTGGGCACTGGTTTAGATGTCAGGAAGGAATTCTTGGCTGTGAGGGTGCTGAGGCACTGGCACAGGTTGCCCAGTGCAACTGTGGCTGCTCCCTCCCTGGGAGTGTTCCAGGCCAGGTTGGACGGGGCTTGGAGCAGCCTGGGCTGGTGGAAGGTGTCCCTGTCCATGGCAGGGGGTGGGACTGGATGAGCTTTAAGGTCCTTCCAACCCAAACCAGTCTGGGATTCTGTGGTTCTATGACACTTTGGGGGAACAAATTGTGTTTGTCCAAACCTTTATTCAGCATTTCAAGGCTTCCCACATGCCACTACAGGTCCACATGAGCCTTTAGACTAGTTGTGTCTGGTGAGGAAAAGCTGTGAGGTGTGAGAAGCAGAGATAAGATAATTTAGGAAGACAAGTTGGGTCATGTGTCCCCCTGCTAAATAAAGTAATTCCTGTTGCATGGAGCTATATCCTGCCTAACTCAGGTGGGAATTAGCAAATACCAGTGCAACTTTTCTGTGAGTCAGGAGAAACACACAGACCTCACAGCAATGAAAAATAAACCCACGCTATTTTAATGATAATAAAGGCACAATTATTAACTCATTGAAGTGAGTTAGAACCATTTGGAAAATAAATTAATACATCTTCACACTTTGTGGGCAACAAGATTTACATCTGAAACATCATTACCATAATCTCTGAAGTTATGCCTTGAACAACAGTTTATCATCTCTAAAAATATTTTGCTCTATCAAGATTCAGGATTTAAGTTTCACTTTACCCCAAAATAATTGTGACCTGAGAGAAGAACAGCAGAGGTAAATGTGCTGACTGAAGGTTCCCCCTGGTCTCTGCTTTGCATTTTCATGCTCTTCATTCTGTTAATACATGTCAGGGCCACACCTCCTGTGGGAGGAAGTGGCTTGTGCAATCCTTTTCTTTTTGCTGGGATTTACTGTGGATAGGCAACACTTCTGGCAGGGAGGGAAGATAGGATTGTTCTGAGGAGTTTTACACAGCCCTGTGGCACTTGGAGCATTTGGAATGGCACAATCTCCTGTCTACTGGTATTTGGGCTAGGAATAGTGAGCAAAGCTTTGCTTTCAAGGGGTTGTTATTTGAATTTCCAGGTTGTCCTTATGTGGGAGTCACTTCTCCTGGTGAGGCAGGAGAAGGAACAGGAAAAAGAAAAGGCAGATTAAGCCCTTTTTTTTTTTTTTTCTCTCCAAAGTGCCCCGATCTGTACAGTGACAGCCTCAGCCACACATCTGCCCTGCTGTGCTAACCCACCTCATGCCCCTCAGAGGAGCTCAGAAGTTACCATTTGAACACAAAATCTATCTGCAATCCCCTGGTACAAACCTCCAAAATTATCTGTGTTCCCCAACATCCTGTGAAAGGACCCTCACGTCCTTTGTCCCTGAAGTCACATCATTCTGTTTTGTGGCCATTCTGCAGGACACACCAAGACACTCAGCTCAGGACCAAACTTACTTGGCATCTCTCACTCTCCACACAGACTCTTCCAGCTGTAGCTCTGATAAAAACTGAGGCACCAACAGAGTTCACCAGCACTGTCTGAGCTGCCCTCGTGCCAGGAAATGGGAAGCCTCCCTGACTCGTGCCTGTTTGAGGGAAGCAGTAAGCAACATGACCCAATTAAGGCAAGTTTCTGGAGCTTCCCTCTTTCCACATGTGCTTTTATGAAGATAATTTCCCCTGGATTGCTCAAAGGAATGGATAAAGATAAGTTCTTCTTGCAGTACTCAAAGGAAAAATACTCAAACCCACTGAAGTAGTTTTGATCAGCACTGACTTCCCAGCTGTAAACTACGTAAATTTTATCTGTTTATGTCTGTATTTTCATTTCAGCTCTATGGAAAACACAGTGATCAGACAGAGTATCTGAATTGCCTATCTAAATTGACTTGTGTTTGGTAATCCCATTTAAGCTCATTTTTCTGTGAAATACCCTACATTCATGTCAAAGGCTCTGAATATTGTTTCCAATCTCTGATAAAGCCCTTAATTCCATACCAGCAGGACCCTTAAGCAGAGCTTATCCTTCTATTCCATTACTTTAATGTAATCCAGGGCCTGCAGACTCCAATTTAAATGGAATCAGAGAGTGAGCACACAGAGAACCACCTCATGCCTGTGGTTTTCCAGACCCACCAGCTCTGCAGTGTGGAATGAGAAGGCAGTGTTGAGACCAGAGGCATGGGAAGTCCATGTGGATAATCCCACCATGAGGCTCTTCCTGCTCCTCCTCATGTTGTGCCTCTCCACAGGCTGGTCCTGCTCAGGTGGACAAACCTTCCTTGCAGGTGGCTGTGCCTCACCAGGCACCACAACTCCTTTATTCATGACACTGAGGAGTTTTGGGCTGGCAAAGGGAACATTCCAAACACTGGTCATGCACCAGTGCTGCTCTGCCACCACACTGCCTGTTGGATCTGTGTCCTTAAAGGAGTTCACTCAGTCCCACATTCCAGAGGGTAAAACCTCCCTACTCCTGCCAGTCACAGCTGAAATCGTTGCTTCACCTCATCTGCAATCATCTTGGCTATGGCAAGGGAGGAGGTAGCAGCAGGAGAAGGAGCATTTCTGACATGGAGAACTCTGCTCCCAATGTCTCCAGTGCCTCCATCGAACACAAAGTCATCGACCAAGTTGCCATTGCTGTCCAAGGCTTGAGCTCTCACGCCAGAGGGACCCCTGGACAAGGAAAGAGGAGCTAACAGCAGGAAGGAAACGTTGTCTGAGGTCAGAAAATAAATTCCCTTGTGATGCTGTCCCAAGGAAATAGTGAGGAAGGCACAGCAAGGAGTCAAAGCCCAGTCAGGGAAGTTTAACACCTGTGAGGCAGAGTGGGAGATGTCTCACAGTCATTCAATCACTGAGGCTGGAAAAGACCTCCAACATCGTGAGTTCAACCTGTGACCCATCACCACCTTGTCAACTAGGCCAGAGCACTAAGTGCCACATCCAGTTGTTCCCTGTACACCTCCAGGGATGATGACTCCACCACTGCCCTGGGAATCCCATTCCAATGCCTGACAGCCCTTTCCAGGAAGAAATCATTACCACAAAACAAGGGCAGACAGCCAAGCAGAGGATCTTCCCTGTCCTTCCTGATTGAGAAGTCACTCTCCTCCCCCCACGCAAACATAATTTGCCTTTCCAAGAAGGAAAGTACAGTTCTGGTGTTCCTAACAGCAGAAGGACATGGAACTGTTGGAGCAAGTCCAGAGGAGGCCACAAAGCTGATCAGAGCACTGGAGCACCTTCCCTACAAGGACAGGCTGAGAGAGTTGGGGCTGTTCAGCCTGGAGAAGAGAAGGTTGTGTGGAGAGCTCAGAGCAACCTGCCAGGAGCTGAAGGGGCTCCAGGGAAGCTGCAGAGGGACTCTTGGGTAGGAACTGCAGTGATGATTGATACTGTTAAAAGAAGAGATTTAGCAAGCTACTGGGTGTTACTAAGAGGAAAGGTTTCTTTTACCTGAGCACATCATTGACAGTGACCTCAGGGATGAACTTCTGAAGCTGCTTCACCTGTGCACTAAGGAAACAGGCTCTGTACATCTCTCCCATGCCATAGGACAGGTTCCTCAGCACAAGCTTCCATAACCCTCTGCAGAGAAAACAAATTGCAGCAGTACGGACAAATCTTCCATCAAAATGCAGCCAGGGTAAACTAGCACTGTGTAAGAATGCAGCAAATGCAACTGCGTGGCAGAAGTTCCCATTCCAAACACCAGGAATACTACAACGCTTTCTATTTGAGAAATACATGTTTGTCCTTCCCTGTTGCCACAAACTTGTTTACAGGGATGTAGCACTGCATTTACATTCTTCCTCTGGGAATCAACTCTGGACTGGTTTGGGCTGGAAGGACCTTAAAGCTCATCTCATCCCACCCCCTGCCATGGGCAGGGACACTTTCCACTAGCCCAGGGTGCTCCAAGCCCTGTCCAACCTGGCCTGGAACACTTCCAGGGATGGAGCAGCCAGAGCTGCTCTGGGCAACCTGTGCCATCACCCTCACAGCCAAAGAATTCCTTCCCAATATCCCACCTGTCCTTGCCCTCTGGCAGTGGGAAGCCATTCCCCCTTGTCCTGTCCCTCCAGGCCCTTGTCCTAAGTCCCTCTCCAGCTCTCTTGGAGCTCCTTTAGGCACTGAAAGGGGCTGTAAGGTCTCCCTGCAACTTCTCCTCTCCAGGCTGAACACCCCCAGCTCTCTCAGCCTTTCTCTCTTCCAAGCATCCTCTGCAGGTATTTTAATTACACTGTCTAGGTTGATTAAAACATTACACTGCACTGGACCAAACCCAACCCTGGAAGAGCTCCACCAGCCCCAGCATGGCCCAGCAGCACCTCCAGTGAGCAGCCACATTCCCAGGCTGGCTGAGACATGCCTTGGTCCTTTATGAAAACTCAAACATTAGGTCACATGAAGTGAGTGTCTCGAAGAAGTCCAATCTTATCAGCACAACTCTCTCTAAACACACCAAAAACATGCAAAAAAAAGAGGTGTTTTGATAAGAATTAGCTTCTATGGGTCACATTCAGCAGACAATAAGACAAGGCATTACCTGTATGTCACAGCATCTAAAAAGTCTCCAGTGCTGAAGTCAAACAGTTTGTAGCCTTCTCTCTTAAAGGCTAACACTGCATTAGGCCCAAGCCAAACACTGCCATCCATCCTGGGTGTGAAATGGAATCCCAGGAAAGGGAACCGAGGGTTGGGAACCTAGAGCAGGACACAACAGTTATTACAGCTCTCCCAAACAGTAAATTTCCTATTTTATTGCCAATCGCTCCACAAAATTCAAGTTCTAACCACACAATTGGCTCCTGCACTAGTTCTTCTGCTTGTTGATTGTGCAGTTATAGCAGGTAATTAATTAAACACTGAAATCTAAGGCTGCACTGGGATGAAAGGAAAACAAACAACAGGGAAAAAATTCTGCATGGTTCTCAGGATATAAACCAACCCACAACAAACCCAGTGACACCTTAATGCTATTCACCAGCAGCATTTACACTGCAATAAAATAGATTACAAAATATTAGGAAGACACTATTAGTCTATTGCTCAAAACAAGCTGCACTTAGCAGGGTGATTAATGCTAATCATAATCTGAAGCAGTTTTGCTTGTTCTAGTTCCTCCCTCCCATCCCATGACAGGATCCAGGTGAGAAGAGATCAGACTCAATGCCCAGGGTTCCACAATTTTCCTCAAGACCCAGAGCTCAGACAGGCAGTGTGCCACATACTGCAGGAATGAACTAAAGTGCTCCTCAGAAATTCTCTCTTCTTCTATATAACTACACATTCTCTCTGGGATGGCTCCTCTTCATCCCACTATTTGTCTGTATCAGATGGCAGAAGGTTGTCCTTTTCCTGGCATGTCTTTTTTTTATGAGACAAAATAAAGCTAATTCCAAAATGTGGTTGAAGAGACAATTATCTAAATCACAGAACTATGGAATCTCCTGAGATGGAAGGGACACACAAGGATCATCAGTCCAACTCCTGCCCTGCCCAGGACACCCCAACACTCCACCCTGTGCCTGAGAGCATTGGCCAAACACTCCCTGAGCTCTGTCAGCCTTGGGGCTGTGACCACTGCCCTGGGGAGCTGTTCCAGTGCCCTAACACCCTCTGGGGGAAGAACCTTGTCCTGATATCCAACCTAACCCTCCTCTGACAAAGCAACTCTAAGTGTCGGGTATTAACACACCAATATCTAAGTAATTACTTACTTACTGTTGTCCTTCACTGACTTCTGAATCTTGAATAGAAATTTATTTTAGAACATGAAGAAAGAAGACATATTTTTGGGGATGTG